ATGGCCTCCAACCGAATAGCAATGGCCTCCAACCGAACAGCAATGGCCTCCAAGCTACTAGCGATGGCCTCCAACCTAATGGCGATGGCCTCCAACCTAATGGCGATGGCCTCCAACCTACTAGCAATAGCCTCCAACCTAAAAGCGATGGCCTCCAACCGAACGGCAATGCCCTCCAAGCTACTAGCGATGGCCTCCAACCTACTAGCAATGGCCTCCAACCTAAAAGCGATGGCCTCCAACCTAGTAGCAACGGCCTCCAACCGAATAGCAATGGCCTCCAAGCTACTAGCGATGGCCTCCAATCTAACGGCGATGGCCCCCAACCTAAGACTAAGAGTGATGGCCTCCAACCTACTAGCAACTCCAACCTAATAGCGATGGCAGTCATTGCTTCCAACCTAGTAGCGAACCTCTGCTTCCAAGCATTGAAGCAAAGAGTATTCACAAACCATATGCCAGGAATGCTTCTAAGAGGAGATGATCGGGCTGGCACACATGCATTGGGAATATTGAGTCGAAGTGCAAATGCGCGATCTAAAATGTAAATAACAAGCAAAACTGTGCAAAACAAAAGTGTTTGGAGTCTGTTAGTGCCTTTTCTTTCACCATGCCCAAGAACCAACAAAAGGGATGTGAATAGACAATTTGGACCATCAAATCTATAATGTCCTCCCCCAATGTTGCTTTTGTCAGGCCTAAACAGAAGCAAAGGCCAGCTCAAGATTTAAAACATCAATAGTGATTACTGATTACATTGAGTTTTCATTAAAGAATCTAGGAACCCATGAGGAGGCTCCTCCAGGGGGAGCTTCCTTGAAGAAGACGTTCTGCGTCCTTCCGCCCTAAAAAGATTCTTTGCCGAAGACGTTCTGCGAGGTGTGAGAAATCCACCTACTCAAAACGCTTGGCGCCGCCCTTTGGCGCTGCATCACTTTCCAGGATACTCCTCTCAAGATTCGGCAGGCGCAGCCGAACGAAGCACAAGATTCGTCCCTAAAAAGCTTGTCTTTGGATTTTGTAGAGTCGGTTGGAAGCCATCGCTCTTTGGTGTACCACCTTAAAGCACCTAAACCTTAAAGCGGAGCCTTCTTGACGCTCTTCTACACTCTGCAGTTGGACCGAGAACTCAGTAGCTTGTGTTTGGAGGACTTTCTACAATTACCGTACATGTTTTTTGGTTCTTTTTTGGGGGGGGTAGGCTGCTAGGAGGTAGCTAGTACCTACAAGTAGCTACTACCGACTGGACGCAGGATAGCTCGCGCTACTGATTCGGTGTCTAGATTTTCAGGGAAACTTAAGAGAAAACAAAGTTATACGGGTGTGGTTTTTATGCGTTTTTGTGGTTTGTCGTTTTTCTGTGTGTTTTTTAATGTTGGCTATTTTGAAGAATGTGTCTAGCAAAAATGTCGACTTGTAATCTGTCAGATCTCTCATCAAGCTTTTGCAAAAAATACTAGCTCTCATGATTCCCACACAGAAGTCCATCAAGCATCATCTATCAGCAAGTCCAACTGGGGCCTGGGATGGGCTTCTCCCGGGAGGGGGGGCGCAAAAAAAAATGGTTATCCAAGAGCATCAGGAGAAAGAATGTCCTTGGCAATGTTGGGTGAACATTGGGAGCATGCTGAGCATGCCAGGTTTGGTGCAACCTGACTTCATGTATGTCTATGTGTGGGCAAGAAGGCGGTGAAGAGAAGGTTCTTCATGAGCTTGGGAATGAGTAGTGGCCACGCAGCCAATTCAGACCCTCAGTGTATCCATGGCTGGATCGTTCCATGGGCTTCGGTTCTTTGGAAGATTTCGTCGTGGATGGGGGGATATGGAGCATAGACCTGAAGAGCCATTGGGTGAGAGCAGTGGAGATGAGCAGGATTGGCCCAATCGAACTTGTGGGATAGGATGTAAACTCCCAATGCTCGCAGAATGGTTCCCTATGACCTCAGTCATCCAGTACTACTAAGCAAGTTTCTCAACTTTTGTTAGGCCTGGTGGGCGCATGGTGTTTCAAGACAATGATCTTCTCTGAAAAAAGAAGCCCAAAAAGCGCTACCTTTAAAACAATGAGAATGCTTATGGGCAAGGAAGTGTATCCAGAGGTTGTTTGAAAAAAGAAAAGTTGGTTTGTTTGGGAAACAGGAGCGCAAGAACATATCTAGACCGCAACCGTGGAAACTCTTTCAAAACATGACCAAATCTAAGAAAAGCAACAAAAACGCATAAAGACCACACCCGCATGACTTCGAGCTCTCAAACTTAACTAGTAGAGTAGTAAGGCCAGGAGCCCCTAGTAGCGTCCTTGCTCCTAGTAGCGATGCCCTTTGCTCCTAGTAGCGTCTTTGCCGGGAAGAGCCACCAAAGAATACACCCAGACGGGAATTGCTGTGAAACCCGCACCCGGACGGGAGAACATGTTTAGCAACAATCCCTCCTTACTCAAATTAAACGCCAAAACATCAGGATCGTCTGTGAACTTTGTACCTGTTCAACAACTCTTCAGAAAAACAAAAGCTTGTATATAACACACAGAATCCTTCAAAGTGCAAAGCGCATAAGCGCAAGACATTCAAGACCTGCTGCCAGGACTGCTAGAAATGCTCTTCTAAAGCCCTCCGTTTTGCTCAACCCCTCCTCACGAGAGAGGCATACGTTTGTGGATTCAGACCATGGTTTGCAACCAGCAGGAAGACAGGCACGGTCTGCAGCAAACAACAAAAGTATTCACATTGAGGTGAACAGTAACGGTCAACATGAGAATGTAGGCAGAGGACCTTCAGATTAACCAGTAAAAAAGGGGATCTGCAAGAAACTAGGTTCGCTCTTAGGTCACAGGTCAATGGTATCAATTAGCTTGGAGGCCATCGCTCTTAGGTTAGAGAAATTACTCTCAGTCTCAAGCGATAGCACCAATGGCGAGATTGGTGAGAAAGGCGGAGGGGTTGATCTGTCCGCGAGGATCCAACAAGCACAGTGCTGAAACGCTCAACACGTGGCAGGGGCACAAAGGAAGCTGAAGTCCTTTGCAAACTCAGTGCTTCAGTCGAAGGATTCGACGCTTTGCTTCAATAAGTGAACAAACCTGTAGACATCACCGAAACAAAAAATATGATTGTTCTGAAACAGTCCTGGACCTGCGCTCTCTTTGTCTCTGGATCCTCTCCTGCGAACGATTCTGGTTTCGCTGGCCCCGACTGCAAACTGCCCACATCGACTAAGTCACTGGCCTTATCCCACTCTGCCTCGACAAAAACAGGTAAAGAGATGGCTTCAACCTTTACTTTTCCCTACGAAATACCCGCAAAAAACACATTCTTCATCACCCCTTGCGTCCCTAGAGTTCATAAGCCACGCCCGCCTGCTCCTTTGCCTTCTCTTCATCCGCTTTGGTGTGTACCTTTGTTCAGCCAAACAAAGCAAACCTGATTGATCTTGACACAAATCGGAGCAGCCTTGCTTCCGGTGGCCAACCGAGTTGCTCCCTGCCCACAGCTTCGCATGACATGAAACTGGCAAAATGCAAAATGCAATTGTCTGCATTCCTGGCAATACTTACCGGTGATCCGGTGGTGCCTTACACAGCAGTTTGTCGTCGCAACTGGTTTTGCACTTAAACCCGTTAAGCTCCCGTCAAACCATTCATTCCACAACAAGATCTAGACAAAGCACATGAAATGAGGTATTGGGAATGTGGAAGGCTTAAGTCGAGGTGAGGTGATGTTGGACTTTTTGGATTGGTTCCATCAAACCACCATTTCTCAGCCCTGGTGATCAAACGATGGTGGAGGCCGAAGAAGGAGAGCACTGGCGAGGTTGGTCTATGCTCATCTGACGAAGGTATCTGTGCCGCTTGCCTTAAAGGAATGTGCAATCATGTTTGCGTACAAACCCTCGGCTCGAGAGATTTGAAGAATGAGCTCAGTAACAAATTATGTGTCCTTGATGGGTTGCTCCTATCTCTCAACATAATGCCCGCAAGTATCGAAATTTGAGTTGCAAACTGCTGGAAAAAGAACGGGCGCTGTAGCAAATATCGCCATTATGTGTCTTCAATGGATCAATGAGCATCTAAACGACCAAATGCTTGAAGCTTTGTAAGTCGCAGGCTTCTCAGGAGACCAAATATCTTGCTTGTGCTGCGGAGATCCTACTACTACTACTACTACTACTACTACTACTACTACTACTACTACTACTAGTACTACTAGTACACTGCTATCAGACACGCGAAGGATGTGCGCAGGATGCTTGGATGCAGGGACGCAAAGGACGCGAGGGACGGACGCAGGCAGGGACGTGAGGGACGCGAGGGACAGATTGTCAGGGCTCATGTCCTGCAGCGTGGCTGTGGCACTTTACAAGAAATCTCTTCCAGCCGAGGTACGAGTAGACTTGTCGATTCAACTCAGACTCAACCTACTGGCCAACACGACCGTTGCCTTGAAACAGCAGCCGTGCTGTGAGAACAAGTTTTTTGCAGTGGAATTACAGTGGTTGGAGGAGCAACAGAAGGAATATGAGCGTTCTCAGCTTGACAAGGCCGGAGCTGATAGTCTGCTAAACAGCTCTTCATGCCTCAGATTGACACAAAAGCTTGGCGTTGGATCGATCAAGCACTGGGCGAAAAACACCTTTGGATCCTGATGGTGACCAAGACTCGGGCTCTGACAGCCAAGAAGATTGAAGGATGGTCATTGTGAGAAAAGCTTTGAAGAAGGTGGACAACTGAGGCCAGCTGAGGCGTAGCATATGATGTCCAGCACCACGATTCCATTTTGGAGACCTATCAACCTTGTTGGTTGCAACGGCCAGAAGGTTGACCATATATATTGGACCTACGAAAAGTGGGAGCCCTTAGCTTTCAAGATGCAATCGCTCAGCTTTGGTGCTTTGATGGAAATTTCCTATGTTCATATAATTGGATTCGGGGTTGCTCGCTTGAGAAGGTGATGGGCCAGAAAAGAACTAAGAGAAGACAGACGTGTTGCGGCCGGCTTTGGAACATCGCCATACATATACCATAGCAAGTAGCTACTAGTAGCTTCTATTGTTTCTACTAGCTTCTTGTTACTACTAGTAAGGCACTTGTTACTACTAGCGATGCACTTGTTACTACTAGTAACATATACCATGCACAATTCGTGTCTACTTCTGATGAGCTTGTCCTACCACGCAGTGGAAGAAAAACAGTGTCAAGAAGCGCACGAGAAAACTCCTTGCTCGTTGTAGCAATGCCTTTTGCTACTAGTAGCTTCTTGTTCCTAGTAGTAAGGCCAGGAGCTGCTAGTAGCGTCCTTGCTATCTTGAAGAAACTGTTTCTAGTTAGGAAAAAGGTGTAGCTTCCTTGTTGCTACAGAAATATGCTATAGGCGATTCATGGCTTTATACAAATGCCGTTGCACAAAAAAAGGAATACTCCTACGTTAAAGAATACGTTTCTAGAATTGACCCATGGGTTGGTTTAAAATGTTTAAAGGTGTTCAATATCATACCCATTCTTCAACTCAGTGTTAAACAAACATACGCCAGGTCAAAAAAAAGAGTTGGTTCAAAAAAAGGGTTGTGGATTATAAACAAAAACGGATTCCAAGGAAGGCCTTGAACCCAGTTCAATGCACAACTGCATTTGTCTTTGTGTTTGTCTGCCTGCTAAACTTCGCGTAGTTTGGCGTCATTTCAAAGTCTTCAGGAAAAAGACTTTAAGGAACCTAATAGCAATGGCTTCCACCCTAGTAGCAATGGCCTCCAACCTAGAAGCGATGGCCTCCAACCTACCAGCGATGGCCTCCTACCTAATAGCAAACTTCGTGTATGTTCAGGTCCATCTTGCATTTGACGTTTCAGTTCTACAAATGGGGCCTGTATTTCCCGATCTTGACCAAAGTCATCTGCTCTTGACCATGTCACACTCCACGTCTGTCACCCCTCTGCATCTAAATATCTTGGCGTGCTGCTTCTTTACTGTCCCGAGCAACCCATGCACTTTTGTCTGACTGGGCCACGAAACTTCCCCTCTTTCCACGGCCAAAACAATGTTGTGTTGTCTATAGTGTGACCCCACTGTGGCATAGTTTCGAACATACGTCATGTTACACCAAGGCCTAGGTCTCATGACATTTCAGAACACCTCCAATGTCGAAAACAGTTTCTTTGCTACTAGTAACAAGTGCATCGCTACTAGTAACAAGTGCTCAGCCAGAAGTGAATACTGCAAAACGAACGACTCTTAAAGGGTTGTGTTTTTGTCTCTTTCACAAGCACCCTCACGCCCATCTTCCTCCGAAGCGCATCGTCTCTGTGGCTAGATTACAAGGCTCTGCTTCCTTTTCAAACATCCCTACCCAACCGAAACAGAGCAAACAAAAAATTCCGTATCATTGTCATCCACCATGGTGGGGAAAATTTTTACACGAAGAAAACGCAGTCTCACACGGGCAATAGATGAAAGAAACCGTCATTTTGTCACACACTGCACTGCAGCAGGGCCCAGAAAATCTTACACTTATGAGACGAGAGCAATCACACGGCCACGTGGAAGGATGCCTTCATTGGGTCCAGGTAGCATGGGTTGCAACATACCCAGCATCAAAAACTTTAAAGCTAAAACATTGATCATATACAACCAATATTGAATGGACAACAAAAACCCTCCGAAAAGGAATGGCCATTCGTTTTGAGTTGTTTCTCATTGTCATTAATCCGTATCACCAGGCGTCTTTCCATCGTCTGGCACCTTGTTGTCCAAGATGTCGTTGAGCACAATCGCAGTCCGCTCACCAGCAATCCTGGCGGCGCCAGAAGTGACTTGCAAAGTGTGGTGCAGCAGGCGGCATCTCAGTTCATGGCAAGATCTGTCTGAGCCACAAATGCCGCCATTCCTGGAGAACGTCACGCATGGGGCATAGGAGCAAGGACGCTACTAGGAACAAAGGGCATCGCTACTAGGAGCAAGGACGCTACGGGGCTCCTGGCCGTACTACTAGGAGCAAGGACGCTACTAGGAACAAAGGGCGGTAATAGCCCGCGTTCGCGGAGAAACCATCCTGATACGCCGCTTCATCAATCTCCACAGGCCCGCTCTCTGCATTTGGCCCGGCCAGTTTTTTCCCGGTGGTTGGATGCACATAGGCCTGGAGAATCGCGTGAGTTTTGCGAGGAACCCATTGCTACAAAGTGCACAGAACAGGAGCCAATTGGTTTTGCAAGGAAACCAAATGTGCGAACCAAATGCGCCACACGCTGCCTTGCTGCATGTAAACTGCACGGCTTCATCGAGCCACCGCTCAAAACTCTTGAAAGGTCCGTCCTGGACTTGTGGCCACTCGTACAAAGATTACACAACACAACAAACACATTTAGAAGTACGCCCTGATAATAAAAATGTGTAATTGATTGATTTGGTTCCTAGATTTTGGGGGAAGTCCTTTCTTTCCTTGATTCCTCACGATAAAATAATGTCGACGATGCCAGACATGCCTCTTTCCACTTCTTCTTGTCCGTGTCCCATTCGGAATCTGAGCTTGAGCTTGCCAAGGGAAAAATGTTTCGACATGTAGGGCAAATTGAGCACCCAGCTGACAGCTCTCACATGCGTCCAGCCTACAAGAAAAATGTTGAATGTTGATCATGAAATTTGCCCTCCATCGATAAGCTTTCCATGGACTCCGTTCGCAAGGAATGGGTTTCGTTCGCCTCCGAGCCAGAAATTGCTCTCCTGAGTCCGGACTACCTCGGTGCATAGAAAATAGAAAATTGACTCTAGTAGCGTCCGACCACTCCATTCGTAGCGATGCCCTTTGCTCCTAGTAGCAAGAATGCTCCCAGTAGTAAGGCCAGGAGCGCCCCTAGTAGCGTCCTTCAGAGGACCGAAAATCGCACCTCCGAGATGGCATGGTCCCAAACATCATAGAGCGACATGGTCTGACCTCGAAGAAAGGTGTAAATTATTAGTCGGGAGTATGAAAGAATGGCAAAGGAAGCCGATGGCCTCCGATGGCCCTAGGGCGCTGAACCGGAAAAAAAGCTGAAAAACGAAGCTGTTTGTGCCTCCAAAAAAGAAACCTATTAAAAAGGCCCAAACACCTTCCTTTTCTCCCCTCTCTTTCTTCTTGCTATGTTCTTATATGTTTATACAATTTTATATGTGTCTATTCTTTCTTACTGTGTGCTCCTTTAATCGGTGTCCAAGCCAATGGCCCCGGAACTTTACCAGGACTTTTCGGCCACTGTTGTCATTGGCATAGCCAACATGGAGCGGCCTGAACGCACAGCACACCAGGGATTAGATCGAGGATAGAACTTCAAGTTGAGTTTTTGCCAAGGAGCTGATGCAAGTCACCCACAAGATTGATGAGCATTTTCAAAAAGTCGGCATCAGAAAACTTAATCCCCTCAGTCCAAAAAGCCACAAAGCCAAAGCCCAAAAGGATTGGATACAACAACCGTGGGCACCTTCGCAACCTTAGCGTAGTCAATCTGCGGAAAATCGATCCTCCAAAAGACACCAACGTTCTGTGCTCGGAGCGGCCGAAACCAAGAAACTGCGACTTGGCGTGAAACGGCCTTCGTCCTTCGTCGGACAAAACCTGAAAGCAAATCGTCGGACAAAGTCGCCCAACTCGCAAACAGGCCTTGGACCCTTCGACCCACCTGCCAACCTAATAGCAAAAGGAACCTAGCAATGGCCTCCAACCTACGAGTGATCGCCTCCAACCTAGTAGCGATGGTCTCAAACCTAAGAGCGCCGAAATGACAACTGACAAACTGGCCGGCCTTTCCATAAAAGTGTTTGATGGATTGGAGCAAGCAAATATTGTCCTACACAAAGGCGAGATATGCGCAAAAATCATCAAAGCGAAGGAGGAGAGGAAGAGTTGCACACACCTCGCATTTGGCAGTGCGAGTGTCTCCACAGAAGCCAGACGCATCATCATGCACCTGCGGAATTCTGCGGACATGCTGCTCATACGTGTCTCAGAAAGGCATCATTTTAAGGCTTTCATCAAGCCTGAAAGTGCAACCGCGCCATGTCGGGATAGGTGTCATCCACCTGCACCAATGCAGCTGGGACTTCAAGATGTTACATGATTAATCATGCCTTCATGATGGTACTTCAAATATCTGTGAGGCCTGGTGTCCCCAACCAGCAACATCAGAAGCATCCTGAGACTCGACAATTGAACAAGTACATGGACAGACTACACTGCACGAATAGAGTGCCCAATAAAGTGTCCTGACCACCCATCATCCGTTTAATTTGCCTCAGGATTGCTAGCCAAAATTCAGTTCAAGGCCTGCTCCAAACCCGAGATTGGCCAAAAGAAAAGCTGACGGATAGAGGACGACACTTGATAGCTTCCTGGTCCATTGCACTGGCCTGCTCAAAGCATATCAAAGCCCAAGCTGCTCCCGAAACGTGCCAATTCGGTTGGAGGCCATTGCTTCTAGGCCATCCATTGCTTCCAGGTTGGAGGCCATTGCTATTAGTTAACAAAACATAAGAGCACAATGCCGTGCCGCTTGGACGGCCCCCTTAAGACCGGTGCGGCTGTTTGGCCAATGGCGTCATGAGCTTCGATGTCGAACGCCTCGGCAAAACCAAGGCAAATGTGCTTAGCTTTAAAAAAACGAGGCCCTGCCTCCTTACTGAATTATATAAGTAGGCGCCAAAAGTTAGGAGGTAAGCTACCTGTAATAGGAAGCTCCTATATACCTTTTGGACGCAGGATAGCTCACGCTTCTTCAAGGAAGCTCCCCCCAGGAAAGTTTCCTTGAAGAAGTGCTCGCACTGATGATTTGGTTCCTAGACTTTTAGCGAAACCTGTATGACAAACGTCATTTTTGAAGTCCAAGTGCCAAACACTGACGGCAAGAGCCATGGCCCAAGCAAACCAAATCATAGCGCATTGGAGGAGCAACACAAAAAATGGATCTGAAAGACAAGAACGCGTACCGCACATTCGGACGATGGGTTCTTGATGACAGGTGGACAATTCCATGAGATGTTGTGCCAGCATATGGGAAGAGAGTGTCCCCACAATCACACATCATGTATCATTGATAAGTTCCACGTCTGCAGCTGCTTGTCTATTTGTCAATGACTTTGTATATGCAGCATATGCATAAGTCTTGCTGCACCTCATGAAGAGTTGAGTTCTCAAACTCTGAAATAAAATGGCCGCTCACTTGCCACCCCGTGATTCATTTTTCTTTTTTTGGAGCACAAAGCTCTGCAAACATGGAGACGTCACCTTGATGGATCAAATTCACAGCAACCCTTAGCAAAAGTCAAAAGATTGCTGCGCGCTGAAAAACTCTACAAATTTCAGTCTACCAACCCACCGCCCAAGTACTCACAAACTATTATCATACTCAATCATGGTTGCTGCCACTGGCTCAGCCCATGCCAGCGCAGCATGTGTGAACAAAAACTAGCTGCTAGCTGAAAACTGGGAAATGACCAGCTTGTGAATGTGGAAGTAAAAGAACACATTAAGTGTTCCAAGTCGCGAGGCAGAATGTTTCCAATTTTAATTGGATGGATGCTGATCATCATGTATTGTGCAGGCAACAAACCACAGGTGAAACGGTCGGTTGAAACGTACGTTGCACTGGAGGTGAACTGGTAAGTTCCGCTATGTTGCTGAAGTAATGCATGTTCAGTGTTGCTGGGAAACCATTGGAGCAATGCTTGTTGATTCTGAAGGCATTTGTGTTGACTGGTTTGGTTTCAAGCTCTCTACGGAGGATTCAGTCAAACACGAAAGCTCGGTTCGCTCAGGCGCCGAAAGCCAACCTGAGTGATCATCCTTCCAGGCTGAGTCCGCATCCTCTTTTGGTTGAAGCTGCTGAAAGATCGCACGCTTGTGAACGCATTGAGGCTTTTGTTGACCTTCGTTGACGACTTTTGCGGAATGCTCAAAAGTGAAAGAGAGAACAGAGTTCGAGCAATCTAAATTCAAGTGGTGGCATAAAAGACCCTCTGCCCAATTGCCAGCAGAGGCTGCACGAATCAAGGCAAAACGAACACTGTCATGTCTTAGAAAGAAAACTACTCCAAAAACCACCGCAGCTGCTGGCTGAAGGTGTCTTTTGCAAGAGTTCCAAGTTTTTTGCAGCGATTTGTGTAAGTTTGTTTTGCAAGGCAGAGAGACGACCTGTTTCATCGAAGATGATGAGGTGCTTTGCAGTTTTAGAGAACATTTTCCCGGCTGCTTTGACAACTTTGAGCCCGCAGTTTTGTCTTTAAGGGAGTGATTTTTTGCACGAGTAGTGCTGCCAGTCATCGCAGAGAATGCGAGAAGGCGAAGGTCAGCTACTGAAGAGATTAAAGATTTCCTGCAGTCAAACAAAACCAAAAAAAACAACACAACCAAACCAACCACCAAAACACAAGCCCAGAACAAAAACAACGCAAGACCAACCAGCCCAGGAAACTTTATAGATCTCTTGGAATTTTTTCTCCGTGCACTTGAATCAATTCGGTGTGAAACGAAAGCTGGGCGTGGATGAATTGCAGGAAGAGCTTCGGCTTGACGTCATTCATGGACTGTCGGCTCACCGATATCCAAGAAACGGCAAGATGGACAGCCTATTATGCAAGAAGCTTGTATCGCGACAAACTTGTCGCAGCGAGGGATTTACCAAGTGCCAATGTGGTGTTTCTTTTGAAAGTGGAATTGCATGCCTGCAAAGTTTTCTGGAATTGCACGCAAGGTCATTCCAGGAAGACAACTGATCACTGAAGCCTTTGGTGATATGTGTGGCGTGTGGACATCGTCGAGATTCATCTGCTCCGAAGGCAGGGCGCCGTCCCCCTGACGGGAGAAGGACATTTTGGGGAGGCCTTGGGCGTAAAAGTTTGACACACAAACTTACAAATCGAAACCTGCAAGTTCTCGTGTGCAAAACTTGTCGCAAGTCATGCCGCAAGTCTGTCTCACAAATCGGGTCGAAAAACAAAAGAAAGCAAAAAGAGCACACACACACACACCGCGTCTTTTCTGCCGCACACTTGAGCCAAACGTAAGTGGTTGTGGACACATGTAGTCCTCATTCAACGAAAGCTTCGAAGAAGCTTTCCAAACAACAAGCTATGGTCTCGGTGGACCTCCAAACACAAATGCATGGTCTCGGTAGACCTCTAAACAAAAGCGTTCATTCTAAAAACTCTTCAAAGTAAATTGAACTGGTTTCAAGTGGTTCCAAAACATTCTCTACACTTCTCAGGCGTTCACAACGCCCTCTAGCGGCTTCTACAAGTGGTATGGAAGCTTCGCTCCTACAGTACAGTCTAAATTCACCAAATTCACACCCCCTTTCGAAGCTCACACGCCACGCTCAGTCAGCCGCCACGCCGCATCGCCAGCAGCGCTTCTGGCACCATCACGCTCTTGGCAAGCACAGTACCATGTCGAGCACAGTGCTGACAAAGCTTGAAAGAAGTCACCTTCTTTCTATCCCTCACATAAGGACATTGAGGTGTAAGGTGGAGCCTCGTCCCTGTATTCGTGAAGTAAATTTCAGCGACATCCACTATTCCTCTCTGGTGTGGAGTTGTAGTCGCGCTCTCAGCGCCCATCGCAGCAGCAGTAGAAAACTCGCCGGCTTTCAACCATGCCTCTGCAGGACCTGGCTTCTTCACAGAAGTCTTTGGCTTCCCAACTAAGCAACTCATCGCAAAATTTCCGGCCGCAAACAGCCCATACATCGCAAGCGCGACGCAGCTACCGAAGAAAGACAACATGGCTTCCGACGCGCGCGTCCCACACACACACAAATGGCTGCGGACAAAGGTCGGGGAAGAGATTCTTCGAAAGGAAGAGAACAAAAGGAAGAGAACGACCCGGTCATCTTGACTTGCAGTTCCTCTCCTGGTGAACTCAATCTCGACTCAAAAGCAATCACACGATTCAACTGATTTCAAATCTGTCGGAATGATGTTGGTCTCACAGACCCAGAAAAGATTACCTGAAAACTCTTTGCCAAAAACCTGATCCAATTCCGACGATTCGATTCCTCAGGACTCTACAGTCGAATAGTCTACAGTTAACAAGGATCCTCAGTCCACAAGTTTTAAGCTTTAAACTATCGAATTCCATCGAGCGAAGTCCATCGGCATCTCATGCACGCGCATTCCATTGCAACGTTTTGACGCACACTCATCACGAGTTTCGGTGCAGCGGTGATCAAGAGCAACATCTGTGCTTCTAGCCAACACCATCAGCTACGGCTAGCTGGGGCCACTCAAGCTATCACCTCACAGGCGACACAGATGCAGTTCTTACCAAATAGATCCACGATCTAGTGAAGAATCTTGCAAACTTCAAAGAATATCTCTCAGTCGAATGGTAGTCAACATTATTGAACGGTGCATGATCATCACCACACTTGCAAGCAAACCTGGCAGACAAACGCTTGGCTAAAGGCTGACTCGAAAGCTGAATCCTGAAAGTCTTCCCTACCTTCAGCCCACTCTGGGTTTCAAGACCCATTGCACGGGCATGACATTCACTCTGATATGCCATCTCTTGCTTCTCAAGAAAGCTCTCAAGCTCGTGAGATTTCCAATACTGGTTGGCTTTTGGAAGTTCAAAAGAAGTTACACCTACGACTTCTTTCATTGACCTGATCTCATCAAGGTACTTTTCACATGCCTTTAGAAGGTGAAAGAACTCTCTTTCATGCTTTGGGTTCCTGGCTGTGAACCGTAAGAGGGGAGACCCTCCCTTACACGGCAGTGAGATGTGAATCCAAATCTGAGTCTCAGACGACGTCCTTGCGCAAGCTTCACGGACCATTTCGAGAACCTGAACACGTGTACTCAAATTCTCAAGCTCAGCATGGATTCCAATATACCTGACAAGTCAAACTCTTGACATGCTTTACAAATGACTGACCCTCGGCCACAAGCAATCTCAAGCGTTTGTCCTCTGAGTTCCGAACTCCGCGGTGGAAGGCTTGCGAGAAGCTGGAACAACAAGACATTGAAAGTCATTGTCACACAACCGCTCCCATGGCAGGCGATGCAGGTCGACATACTCCCCGTCGCAGACGTAGTGCCTCCCTCGGATCCTGACCGCATCGAAACCAATGGCGACTCTGCCAATGACGGAGGAGGCGGTGGAGGAACAGTTGGCGACTTCCCCTCCACAAGCGGTGGAGGCGGCGGAGGGATGCTCGGCGACTTCACCTCAGTTGCCTTTGATCCTCGGAGCGAGGAGAACTTTGATGGAGCCACTCCCAACTACGGGATGGATACAGCTCTGGCTTCGACGATTCTGCCAAGCGATTCAGTATCTCAGGTGATGGTGGCCGCAGACGACGGGTCGAATCCCGTTCCCTTGCTGCTGACGCCGCAAGAAGCGACCAGGGTCCAAATCCTGATGAGGAAGAGGGACCACATCGCCAAGGCCAACTGGCCGTATGAGACTTCGAGCAATGTGTGGACCGAAGGGTCTGAGGATGAGGACCTCAAGACGAGCTTTTGAGGAAGAGGAAGAAGACTTCAATGAAGCCACCTTTGAAGACCACTCCGTACAAGAGGACGAGGTCCCCAGCTCGAGTCCTTCGAAGGCAGCGCCTCCGAAGAAGAAGCAGATGCCGACGTGTGCAGGGAAGGGAGCGAGCAGCTCTTCACAGCCTGTCGCTCCACCGCCGAAGTCGCTGGAGGTGAAGGGTCCGCCTGAGAAGAAGAGCAATGTTTCAGTGGTGACTCCATCTGAAGCTTTCCATCAGGTTCCCAAGTCGCCTGCAGCCAAGCCGACTTCAAAGGAGGCAGAGATTCCCAAGACTCCGGTGATGCCACCGAAGACACCGCCGAAGACTCCTTCGAGGCCTGCGGTGATGCCACCAAAGACTCCTCCAAAGGGCCCGATGACTCCACCTAAGAGTCCACCAGGGCCGAAGACACCTCCGGTCAGTCCGAAGTCTGTGTCGGCAACATCCTAT